TTCAAGGTGGTGCTGCTGGGGGAAGGCTGCGTGGGGAAGACGTCGCTGGTGCTGCGCTACTGCGAGAACAAGTTCAACGACAAGCACATCACCACTTTGCAGGTGCGGGCCCCGGGGGGCGGGAGGCGGTGCCGGGGGCCCCTGCCCGCGCGGAGGACCCGGCCGCCGCGGTCTCCTGGAGCGGGGCTCGCCCATCCCAGGCCTGTCACGGACGTCGTGGACTGGCCCCTCCGAATCCGCCCTGGGGACGCCCGGGGTCTTGGCAGCCTGTAGACGGACAGACAGACAGTCGGGAGGGGAGTGGAAGGGCCCTAAAAGTCCCCATGCCCCGGCCGCGCAGGTCGTGGAGTCCCCATCGTTGGGCTAGTTTTTCCCCTTCGTCTTACTTCCTCTTGCGCCCTAGGTGCCTTCGCTTTACGGTCGCCAGATGTCCCCCCCGCCTTTTTTGTTGTGGTTGGTTTCTTTCGGAATTAGGGACTTCGCTGCGGGTTTGATTCCGCGCATTAGGTGACTTGGGACTCCAGCGCTTACCGATGACTAAGTGTTTATGCGAAAGTTCGGTTTTGTCCCGTCTTCACGTAACGCGCCGATGGGCAAAACGTCCCTCCCCGGAGGGGTTTTGAAAGGACCGCTCGCCGGTGCGGGTTACGCAGCCTCGTTACCGCCTTGCGGGTCTGTCGTGCTCTGCGAGGTCGACCCACATTCACATGGGAACGTCATGTGAATACTGTTTATTTTCTTTGTTTCGGATAGAGAGCCGGCTTTCTTCTGTAGTTACATTATGGTTCCTCAGAGAAGTGTTAGAATGTAATCATTTTATTGGGAGGGAAAGCTGTCCTTGGAGGCGGTTGTAGTCTGTCCCCCTCTCCCCAAGGAAATCCGGCTGCACGTGTTAGAAAAAAAGAAATATCCAACTAATCTGACTTGGTCAATGTAGTCAGAGACAATAAACCCTAGTGAACTTTTGAGCCTCCATTCATTTAACTAGTTGTGTGATCTTGGGCAAGATAGTTAATGTATCTTTGCCTAAGTTCTTCGTCTTTTAAAGTTCTTCGCCATAATTTAGTGCCTGTCTAATTCATAGGGTTGTCAGGACACATACACCTATATAAAGCGATTAGGACCTGGTCCAGTGTAAGTTCTTCATCATTTTTACTGCCCCAGATTGCACAATAGATCTTAATTAATGATTGTGGAGTGTGTAAGAACATAGACACTATTAATAGAACTCACAGTGTTCTTATTGTTGTGACATTTGATGCTTGATTCTATTATTAAAGTACCGAGTCTAGAATTTACGAAGATGTTCCAGTTCTATTTTTATTCCTGTGGAAAGCATAATATCTGAAAAGGTTAATGCCAGGAAACTCCCTTTTTTCTTACATCCTTGCACAAGACTACTTACACAGTTTTAATAGTGGATTGTTATTTTTGAGTGCTACTAATGAGATTTGTAGGGTAAATACATGTCTATGGTCATTTGGAAGTTTAGAAAATCATTTAGGTAAAATAGCAATAGCTAATATTGAGTTCTTTTTTTTTTTTTTTAATCAGGCCTCTGGGGTGGATAGGTTTTTGTTTTTTGTTTTTTAAAAACAATACATTTTTAATGATTTCAGAGAGGAAAGGAGAGGGAGATAGAAACATCAATGATGAGAGAGAATCATTGATCGACTTCCTCCTGGGGATTGAGCCCACAACCAGGTCATGTGCCCTTGACTGGAATTGAACCCACTCTATCCACCGAGCCAAACCGGCTAGGGCTGAGGTGGATAGTTTTGTTAGCCCCATTTTACAGGTGAGAAAACAGGCTTGGTTAAGTTATTTGCTAGTCATTACATTGCCACAAGTCATGCTGCCCAAGCTGAAATTTGAACCCAGGTCTGATTTCAGATTTTGAGCAATTAAGTCACACTGCCTCTGGATATTGGTAAACCATCCCTCTAGTGGTTTCTTTATGCTACAGGTCTAAGAGAAAAGAGAAAACCATTGCAATTGAGCTCTCAATTTTTATTTTAAAATATTTTTATTGATTTTGGAGAAGAAGGGAGAGGGAGAGAGAGAAACATCAATGATGAAAGAGAATCATTGACTGGTTGCCTCCTGCATGCCCCACAGTGGGGACTGAGCCCACAACCGAGGCATGTGCCCTGACCGGGAATTGAACCAGGACCTCCTGGTTCAGAGGTCGACACTACTACTGAGCTTAGCCGGCTGGCTGAACTCTTAATTTTTTAAAAAAGACGCCCTAGCTGGTTTGGCTCAGGGGGTAGAGTGTTGGCTTGAGGACTGGAGGAGGGTCCCAGGTTTGATTCCAGTCAAGGGCACTTGCAGGGGTTGTAGGCTCGATCCCCAGTAGGGGGCATGCTGGAGGCAGCCAATCAATGATTCTCTCTCTCATTGATGTTTCTCTCTCTCCCTCTCCCTTCCTCTCTGAAATCAATAAAAATATATTTTAGCCCTAACTGGTTTGGCTCAGCGGCTAGAGCGTCGGCCTGCAGACTCAAGGGTCCCAGGTTCGATTCCGGTCAAAGGCATGTACCTTGGTTGCGGGCACATCCCCGGTGGGGAGAGTGCAGGAGGCAGCTGATCCATGCTTCTCTCTCATCGATGTTTCTAATTCTCTATTCCTCTCCCTTCCTCTCTGTAAAAAATCAATATCAAACATTGTGCTAGCTAGGGAATGTAAGATGAGTAAGATACTTTAACTGTTAGTTAGCTTTCTTGACTTTATGTATTTTTTATATAAAATTTTTTAAATTTTAAAATGTTTTTATTGATTTGATTTGATGGGGGCGGGGGGAGAGGGGGCGAAGGCCAGGGAAAGGGAAATGGAGAGGGAAGGGAAAGGTGTGCTCCCGGGAGGGAGAGCACCTGTTTTTATTGATTTGAGAGAGAGGGGAAGGGACAGAAATATTAATGAGAAACATCTATCAACTGCCTCCTGCACTCCCCCTACTGGGGGTCCGGCAGGCAACCCGAGCATGTGCACTAACCTGGAATTGAACCTGTGATCTCTCAGTGCATGGGACAACGCTCAACCAACTGAGCCACACCCGCGAGGGCTTGCCTTTATGTATTCTTAAATGTTGTGTCATCTATACTAATAAAAGCATAATATGCTAATTAGACTGGACGTCTTAAGGACATCCTTCAGGACAAAGCCACGGTGGGGGGGCCGAGGCAGAGGTGGTTAGGGGTGATCAGGCCAGCAGGGGAGAGCAGTTAGGGGGATCAGGCAGGCAGGCAGAGTGGTTAGGGCAGGCAGGCAGGTGAGTGGTTAGGAGCCAGTGGTCCTGGATTGTGAGAGGGATGTCCGACTGCCAGTTTAAACCAAGGGTGCAAGCCAAGCTGAGGGATACCCCCCTCCCCTGCAAGAATTTTGTGCACCGGGCCTCTAGTTTTGATTATAACCCTCTCTTGTCTTTGATATGTCTTTATGTCTGTGCTCTTGGGTGATTGCTTTCTTTTCTTTAGATGTGCCTTCTTTTTTTCCTTATTGAAGGTGTTTTAAAATTACAACCCCTAATTTAAATGCCTTCTATCATTTTTCTTTTTAGAATACTAACTGGAATTCCACCTATCTGCCTCCTAAAGTGTAGGGTAGGTGCCTGTTATTTGACTAGCAAAACAGTGCTTGCTGTAAGTTTGGCTGGGCATATGGTATCCTGACAGTTTGGCAAATGAGAAAACTAAGATTTGAATTAGCTTTCCAAGGTCCCACAAAAACAATGTGTACCATTTTTTAAAAACTAAGTCTACTCCCCTCCCTCCCCCCCCATATACCTTAACTTCCAGAGCAACACTTGGCATTCAGGTTCTAGTAGTTGGTTTTGTACTTGGCATCATAGTCTCTGGTGAAGGAATCTTGGTTTCCTTGTTTGTAAGATTAATGTTTGAATATCTGAAATATCTTCCAAATAGTTCTGGAAGCCACATCACTGTTGATTCAGCCAGGTCATCTATAACATTTTTATAAAATAAAATAATTGAAGTCTTTTTCTAACAAATGGGTTTTTCTGAATTGTGGCTTTGGATTTCTAATACGTATGTAAGTATTCTATATCTGACTGCCATTTCCTGCTTTGTGTTTTAAGCTACTTCTTAGAAGTGACTTTTTGACTCTTCTTTGCAAGGTATTTACTTGGGTTCTAAAATGATTATGGTCCCTCTTTTTAGAAGCTAAGAACAAGAAATGAGGTATTCAAGCACCCAGCTTAGTTTTCTTTCTTTTCTAAAAAATTGAAATATATTTGACATGTAACATTGTGTAAATTTAAGGTGTACAACATTAATTTTTTACATTTTAATACTGTAATACAATTGCCATTGTAGCAATCTAGCTTAGTTTTCTGATGGCTCATTGTTACTGCCTTGCTACAAAGGACTAATTTTATAAATTATCTGCCTGAATTCTTTCTTAAGTCTGGACATGGTGATAGATACTTTAGCCTGAAACAGTGTTAGTGAGTATAGCAAAAATAACATTACCATTCAGTTATACACACACACTAATGAAAATTGGCTGAATTTACTAGTAAAATACATCAGATAAAGTCAGGAAACTATTCGTCCACAATTCAGTTACTATGCTAATTTAGGTATTTTGCTTTGTAGGTGATTAGCAAGCACAGCAAGTGATCTGGCTAACAACAACAAAAAACAAAATTAAAAGAAGTTATTAAAAGACTTTCATTTGGCAGATATAATTTGTGCCGATTATTTCTCTCCTATAATTCTATTTTGGTTTTTAAGTAGAGATTTAAAAAAATTATCCGCCAAGATTTCTGATAAGATGGGCAAAATAAGCCAGCATCAGATGCAGATGACGGATGTCAGTCTTGAACTAATAAGATTGCTAATTTTGTTAATACCCCTGTGGTTTGGAAGATAGAAGTAATTGGAATTAGAAGTAGTGGTGCTGTAACTCAGAGTTTGAAGGAGTAAGATGGGAAATGTACTGTTACTTTGATCCTCATTACCTTGTTGCCTACCCTGAGAATATTTGGGAGATGAATTGGCTTCCAGAAATACTTAGTGTCTAAGTAGAGGAGTGCCAGGTTAAGAATGTGTATGTTCTAGAATAGGCAGCTTTGAGCAAC